CGACGAAAGAAAGAAAATAAAATAATGTTAAAGAAAAATATAAATTGACTCGACAAAAGACAAAAAAAAAAATCGTTGAGAAAATTTTTCATTCCCCCACATATTTTTATCTCTCAACTCTCTACCTCTCACTTAGAATCACAAACTTTTTTTTACTGTCTGGTATTTACGACGGACTTGCAATTTTTTATCACCGGCTCCCTTACAATTTTTTTTACATTTTTTGTTAAATACATTTTATCATTTTACTTTTTTTTTTTTTTACATTTTTTTATTTAATTTATTTAAAAAAAACAATCACGACTCTCGTGCTATCTTAGTACGTGTCTGGCATCCCACAAAAATCACCAAAAAAAAAAAACTATTGTAACAGATAATTTTAAATTTATAAACAAAATAAGTATTTAACATTTTAATTTTCTTAAATTATTACTACGATAGCACGGGGATCGATTCCGGTATGTTGACGACGCCCCAATGTCGCTCTTTATTTTTTTCCATCTTATACATTTCCGCCCTCTTTTACTTATTTTTTTTTTTTTAGATTTTTTCCCATCTCTTAACCCTCTTCCATTTCATCTTGACTCACAAATCTCCACAAAAATGTTAACAGAGCGCAATTGACGCACACTTGGTAACATTTTCGTAAGAGATTTTTCCCTAACTTTTTCCCCCCTTTTTTTTTTATTTTTTTTTTTTTCATTTTCTATTTTTTTATCATTATTTTTATACTCCGTACACTAAGACCCATACGTTATTTTATTTATTATTATTACTAGGGTCGTCATTCTTAATTCAATGCAATTTTAAACTTTTTTTCAAATTTCCGTGATGTTTTAAAGCATTCGCTCTAACGTAAACCCGCCTCGCGAGTAAACGTTTTTAATACAAAAAAAAAATTTATATAAAAAAACTCCCTATTTTATTATACCAGCCAAGAGAGATTATTTATTAAAAGTTTTCATGTTTTCGCCTGCGTTTGCCGATCAAAAAATACCGAGACAGCGTTTTTTTTTTTTTTTATTCTCTTTTAAAAGAAACAAAAAAAAAAAAATTACAGCTTGCACTCAAATATAACCAGACAATCTAGATGTTTGAGCTTTTAAAATACATACTCTAAATATTACCAATCAATTAACAAAGTAAAAATGAAAGTTGAAAGCCGACAAACGCAGGAGCATGCGCGAAAATTATCAAGTTAAATCTCAATGATATTAATTGAGTAATTCTCTCTCTTGTGCTCCAGTGAACGAATATTCTCTTCGCTCGTTTAACTCACTACTCTTCAATGCGCTTGTAATCTCTTCCAAGTTCTCATCTCTTCTTCTCTTCTCCTCATTGCTTTTACGACCTTACTACGCCTTTTGTCGTGCACTTACGAACCTGCATATAATTCCCCTTACTTTTATTACGTCAAGTGCACTCGAGAGAACACAAATGCGGACAAAAAGTCTTTCGGAATTTTATCCTTCACTATTTTATCCCGACATTTATCTTGTTACAATTATAAAACTTTTATATCCGCTCTGCTGATCATATTTGTTCTCTCTCCACCTCCTTACTCACAATATACTTTGTAATTATTACAAATTCTCATTGTAGATATTATCAAAAATTAAATCACTGCATGACAATGCACTGATTTAATTTTTAACATTTTTTTACTCATACCAACTATTCCGATGTTAACAATTTTTTTTTTTTTTTCATACACTCCAATTATCGCAGATTTTAATTAATGGTATTACAATTACTTTTCTGTTTAAATGTTTTACAAATCAACTTAATACGTTATTTTTAATAATTAATAAAAAGACAGACCAACATACACGCGTTTCAATCATTCACAATATACAATCAAAAATTTAATCATATTTAGTCATCAATTGAAATTTTTATCATATTACATGTCAATATTCATTAAATTTAATTACATTATTATTAACGGTGTGGTTTTGCTAATAGCCTTGGCGAAAATTTTTTTTTTATTTAATCGGCGATTGAAACTTTTTATTTTTAACGTACTTGACTACCCACTATTGCAAAGTCGCATTCGATCCGTTAAAACTTTAATATTTTTTAGCACAACTTAAAAGTTTTTTTTATTTTTGATATACTTTTTTTCGGCTCTTGTTATTTATTTTAAAACTTTAGATTTTTTTTTTTTTTTCAGTATTTAACAATAGCGAGGTGCATTAGTGGATAGTGCTTTAAATTCTCTTTGTCTTTATATACAATGCCGACTAAAGTTAAATCACACTTTACAGAGGTAAATACTTTAGCTTTGAAAATATAAGTCGATAAAAAACAATTGATGACTTTGTTGTTGTTGTTGTTGTTGTTATTGTTTTAAATAATTATTTTATCTTAATCTCTGGTGTCGTAGCAACGAAATACAATGTACAATATTTTCCGTTATGTTATGTTATTATTTTTTTTTTTGTTATTTTTTATCTTTTATATTTTTTTACACACATATCCCCGCACGCTGCACTCAATTTTGAGATCATACTTTCATACGTTGAAAAACATTTTGTAATTATAATTTATTAAAAACATTTTTTTTTTGCTTTTAATTACTTTATAAATATTTAACTTTACAATTTAGTTTATTTATTTATTTATTTTTTTCATTTAAAAGCAATACGATCTCGTGGCTGACTTGATTGCAATGCTGATACGAGGCACGCTTAACTCGTATCATCATTGATTGTCGATTGCTACTAATTGACCCGTGGGCGTGAGACAAGGTCTTCGGATTATTTATTCACAATAATAATTATAATTGTTATTAATTTTGATTAAGAAATTTAATTGGCAATTATAAATTTTAGCAAATAATTGATAAAAAAAAAAAAAAAAAAAAAAAAATATTTTCGTTGCAAGATTAAACCGTTTTCTCACAATTATTTTGAACTTTTATAATTTATTTTTTTCAAGTTCATTTGTGCACGGAAAGAACAAGATGACATTGGATATCATCCCAAATTATACTGAGTGAAAAAAAAATTTTAGATAGTAGCTAGTATAATACAGATTACACTAAGTATAATCTGTCTGAAATTTTTTTTTTCACTACAGATTACTGAGTATAATTTGGGATGATATCCAGTGTTATCATGTTTTTTCCGTGTGTATTATGTCACGACTGAAACCCGCGTTTGCTTCCTTCTACCGTGAAGCTAATTCGTTTTTATTTTGTTGGCCCTCTATATTATTACATATACAAATAAATGGCTCAAGTCTGTCTTCACACACGTCACTAGACTTTATACACATTTTATCATAATTATTGTTATTATATGTTTTATTTATTAACCGTTATTATTATTACTATTATACAATGAAACGGATTATCCGTCTACGTTTTTAATCAACTTTTTACGTTACAAAAAAAGTTAAGCAAAAAAAATAATAATTATGTATAATGTGATCTATGGACACGCGAGATCGTTGTGTGTAAAAAAAAAATTGAATTTAATATTTTATTATCATTTTTTGCACTATACCAATGTTCCCGATACAATGATTATTTTACTTTATAAACTTTGTGTTTTTTTTTTAAGCGGCAACTTCGTTGAGATAAATTTATCATACATATATATTTAATACAGATAAAAATATTTTTAAGTAATAAATTTAATACCGATACCGTAATCACGTTTGTTTAAATTTATTTTTATTTTTACGTCGCGATTATTCATAATTATATTTTGTTTTACGATCCCTGTGTCTCACGTAACCCATTAGCCAAATAATTATAAAAATAATTGTATAAAACTAGTCAATTTATACAATCTCTGATTCTCAATCACAGTATTATAAATAAAAAAAAAAAAGTTCATCGCTTTTAACAAAAAAAAAAAATATTTCTCTTTCAAGGTAAACAAAAAATATCTGATTGTATTTTTTAATTTTTTTCGACAGCTATTAATATTTTTTTATACAAAAAAAAAAAAGTGTGATTAGAATTTCAGAGTTGCTTTCAATGACATTACAAAATCAAGCCACAATCAAACTATACATTTTTTTTATTGTTTGCACACGTTCTGTAAATTAGATTTTAAAAGTAAAGAAAAAGAAACATTAGTATGTAATTTATTATGTATATATATAAATATATTTTATTGTTTAAAGCTTCAGTGAGCTCGAAAAAATAAAATTTTAAAAGATAAACTAAATGAAGACGGTAATATTAATTAATAATATTTATGTATATAAATATCAAGCCTTTTATATATATATATATTAATGTTAATGAATATTTTCAATTATTAATTATAAATTAATAATCGAAATTATTGTATTTCTTTTTTTCTACGCTTTGTGCACTTGATAATGGCTTGACTCTGAGCTAATTATAATTAATTATTTACACTTATAAGTAATATCTATTTACAAAGAAAAAATGACTCGCAACTGCACACTGACGTTCACTTCAGTCACCAAGTTTCATTAAAAATTTCATTTTGTTTTACTTAATTGAATTAGATATAAACCGAGCAAGAATAAAATAATAAATTTTATTTTCTTTCTCTTTTAGCGATGCTCGGCAATAAACTTTATTTACAAGTAACACATTTACTTTTTTAACTTTTATCATACTTTTATTACGATGAATTTATTATTTTTCACGTTTTATTATTCCAAAGTCTTTTATGAATCTAAGTTTATCCTCGAAAGAGCACTTGCTGTTCCCTTTTAATAGATCATCATTTTATTTTTTCTCACTGTTCCTTTCGCACCTCAAAACTTAAGTAACCATTTTTTATTTTAGATTATTAATGTAATTTTTAAATAATTCACTATCTTTATTATTCAATACGCCCATATCGATGTGCTCGAAGTTGATAATGGATATGCCACGTGTAGTACGAGTCACGAATCACTTGTTTTTTTTTTTTTTTTTTTCTTTCAATTCAAATCTTGTTTTTGTTGTTGTAGTTATTATTATTGTATTTTAATAGCTGTTGCTTAACTATTTATTTTAATTGATGAAACTACTTCGACACGTTACCTTCGTCCAAACTAGTATTATCCTCAGGTCGAGCTACGTATAAACTAGGATCTATCACCTTGGGAATTGGCTTTATTTCCGTACCAAGTTCTTGCTCAATACGATGAAGATTAAAACGATCTTCATAAGTTATTAGATTGATGGCAATACCTAAATGACCGAATCTACCAGATCTACCGATACGATGTAAATACGTCTCGGCCATTTTTGGAAAATCAAAGTTTATCACGACATTAACTGCTTGTACGTCGATACCACGAGTGAATAAATCACTACTCACCTGTAATAAATTAAGATTCATTTATTTTATTAATTATCAATCATCATTGATCCGAAACATCAATTAAGGATATTCATGCGTAAAACTTAATACTATATATAGAAATAAATTCAGATTTTTTCATTTTTGATCTTCCCTCGAAAATTGAAAATTTGTTATCGATTATTTAAAAAAGTTATTAACGATTACAAATTAGATTCTCAACATACAACCTCAAGACACATCAGCATTTTTTTGAGTTTAAAATTATAATATTTATATTATTAAAGTAGATATCATAATAAATAATGTTTGAAAAAATTATGCATTTATTATAAATGCATCAAAAAAAATAGTGTTGACGAACGTTTAAATTAATTATTTAATACTTTACTTGGTATAATCTATATTATTAAAAGAGTAAGGAAAATTTTGTTTCCAGGATAGCCATATGATAAAATTGGTTTTTTTAGTTAAACTAGAATTTGAATTTACGTGCGCAAGCGCGCGCCTTGACTATAGAGTTTGCATATATTTTCATGCTTATGATATATTCAACCAATCACGTTACGAATAGTTTGATGCCACATACATTTCATCTCAATTTTATTATGGGATTGATTGCCATTGCAAAGGTCTTGATTTAAATTTGTGCCTTTTCAAGGTTTCATTTCATTCTCACCGATAGTCAATTTATTATAAGTATTTAGGCAGCGTTCGAAAATGCTTTATCTCTAGATACATAATTAAGAAATTACCTTGTATCTTGTGAATTATTGACATTTTTAAAGATATAAACTCATCTCGATGTTACACTCATCGAGACCTTTCATTTGAGTACCCACATATATTTTTGATATATTTTATATATTTATATATATGTATATATGAAAAATATAAAAAAATGCATGTGGGTACTCAAATGAAAGCTCTTGATGAATGTATCATCGGGATGAGCTTATATCTTTCAAAAGGTCAATAGTTGAAAAAAAATATTGCGCAATTTAACAAATATCTTGTAAACTATTGACATTTTTAAAGATATAAGCTCACCCTGACATTACACTCATCGAGACCTTTCATTTGAGTACCCACATATATTTTTGATATATTTTATATATTTATATATAT